GTAATCTCATGGTCTCTCTCAGATACTATACACTCTGGTGATACATCATTGAAAAGTGTCAGTTTAACAAAGAATGTGTCTTAGCTCTTGCAGGGATGGTAGAACACATTTGCTTTGTCTCACCACCGCCTGGCTCATTAAAAACAATAGAATAGAATCAAATGTGGTTTTCAGAATACATACACACAGTCAAAATTGAAAAAAAAAATATTCTGCCATTTTATCTTGGTCAATACTAACAAAAAATATTTTGCTTTATTGCTCTCCTTTTTCTCTTTTTAATACAAATGCCTACATTTAATTTTATAAAGTAGAAAACAGTAAGAGTTAACTTTAGGAATTCAGAAGCTAATACCAATTTGTTCATAAGCAGGGAATACATAGTTTGCCGTAGAATTGTAAAGTCATCCCCACCACAGTGGTCATGTTGCATTGTGAGCTGGGCCTGATGGTAGACTAGGTAGGTTGTAATCTTTAAATTTATGGTAATTCAATGTCAAGTTTTACTTGATATTCACACCCAAAGAATCCAAAAGCACTACAGATTTTTGGTGATCTAAATAGAACAGAGAACACACAATGATGTTTTTTGACATCAAATTCTCTAGGTGTGAACTGAAAGCTATCAATTCAACTCTTAGATTTGTACGTAATGATAATAACAGCAACAACACAGCTAGCACTTGTTGAGAGCCAACAATGTGCTGGGTGTTGTATGGATATTTTATCAGTTAGTCCTCATGATTTAGGTCCTGTTAGGATAAAACATGTGCTCGAGGTCATAATAAAGGTCCTCTTAGGATAGATAAGACACATGCTCAATGTCACATGTTAGTTAAGAGGTGTCATCAAGGCTTAAATGCATGACTGTTTGTCCCCAGTGCACTGCGCAGCACCATTACACTTTATATTTCCTGCTTCATCTTACATGCAGTGAAATTATTACACACAGAGGCAAATTGGCTTAATTAGGATCTCTCAGAGAGTTTAGAGCAAAGCCAGAGAGAAATTAGGTCTCCAGATTTCCCTATTAAGGGCATTTCTTTAATGTGTTATAGTGCTTCCATTTATTGAAGCTCCTCACCAAATTTTCTGAACAAAAGACAATGTTATTGACTGAATTGGCCACCAGATCTCAATACTTTACCTGATTATGTTGTAATGTAATATTAAAGTAAACATAATATTCATCCTATAATGTTTCTTGAAAACTAAGCATTGTGCTGTTCTGAAAATGCAATGAGTAATTAATTATTCCTAGTCATTTATGTATATTCTCATTCATATATTCACTAAATATTTACCAAGTCCTATTAGAATCTGTATTATTTTCCAGTGAAGGGACATTTTGAACTATCACTTTTACTTATTCATTTAATGCATACCTTTTGAATACCTATTAATTGCCAATTATTGTGCGAGGCAGAGATACAATCATGAAAAGATGTAGTGCTGGCATCAAGGAGCTTGTGATCTGCACACAGAGGAAAGAAGTAAATAGGCAATACAGTAGAGTATACGGGGTGCTATAATAGTATAGAATGCTAGAAACATAATAAAAGGTTACCCAGAGAAAGCAGATTTAAGCTAAGGTCTAGAAAATAACAGACGTTATAAAGGACAAGAGGCTAGGGAAGAATATTCTGGGCAAAAGGAATCACATTTTAGAATTTACAATTGAACAATAAAAAGCAGGAGAAAATCTACTCATTTATTAATTATCTGTGCATTTGCCAAATTTTACCAAAAAGAATAGCACCATATTTTTTTTTTTACTTATTATACTTACATAGAATACTTAGTACATTCTGATGTATGAATAAATGAATGAAAGTTGTCACATTTTGTTTTGGTTGCTTGTTCTGTAGCTCACTGGTCTATCTCTTTTGAAAGACAACACCAACAAATTTCATTCATTGTTTTTCTTGATAAAGTGTTGATAAATAATGAAGAACTTGAATCCACAAATTGATTCCATGGTTACATAGATCCTTGAGGTTGAATCATAAACTTGTATTTAACTCAGGTCTCATTATTCAGGATAATGGGAGTGGGAGAACTCTATCCTGTAGAATTGTGCTGTTCAATATGGAAGCCACTAGCCATGACTATTTAAATTTAAATTTATTTGAATTTAAATTAAACAAATTAAAACTTCAGTTTCTCAGTGACGCTATCCACATTTTAAGAGTTCAGCACTCTTATGCCAACATATTGAACAGTGCAGAAGAATATTTTCATTGGTTACAGAGAGTTTCATGAGAGGTGTTTTGCTCTAGAAGCTAGTTTTAAGGTTTAATAAACTATATTTATTTCAGAATAGTGTTGAAAAATAATAATTGCTCAATATATAGTAGTTATTTTTAAACTTAGTTTCATTCTCTTTTAATGGCAAAGTTTTCCTTCTGAAAGTAGAAACCAACATTTACATATTTTTGTAATGATCAAGGCAAAAATTTGATGAATGAGCTGACAGTCTCATTCCTGAATCTGTAGTACCAGAAAATTTCCCAGCTGTTCATATAGCCTGGACACATAGACAAGACTGACAAAACCATCTGAAGGTGACAAGTTCCAATTCCATGACCCCTCATGTTGCACTGCCCACTTTCTGGTGAGGTGATAATGAGTAGTATCACTGCCAAGAGTGCATAAATCAAACAGGAGAAGGAGATGCCAGAGCTTTGCAGAATCTACTTTGAATAATGAAGAATTAAATATCATTCATCTTAAACTGATTTTCCAGACACAGTGCCAAGAAGAAAGCAAGTAACTTCATACACTTGATATCTAAATCTAAAAGTCTCAGAAGGGAGATGATTGGGATCTGCATCTGAGTTTAGCTCATTTTATGCATGGTCCCTTTCTGCACATTAGGAGACCTCTAATTAACTTAAATATGTTCACTAAACTGGTTTATGTGTTCATAGTGGTACCAGCTTAGAATTATTCGAATAGTCATAAGGTAACAGAGTGGAATACAGAAGATTAGTGATCATTAAGCAATAGTTTGCTTGTTTGCTTACTGTTTTACTAATTCTAAAAGGAATTAAAAATCATGAAGAGTAATCAATGAAAAGATCAAGCATGGCTAAATTTTGTGACATAAAGGATACATTTGGTAAGTAGTAATGTATGTGATAAGTAACAACACAATCTAAACAAGAGTGATGGATATATTTGCCTCTCAAACTAGTAAAATATTTCCCTGGTGCAGATATAATGATAACTCTCATACGCACTTGCTATTCAGAGTATAAATTAATACAACTGTTTGGGTAATAGGTTATCAGTATGTACCAAAATCTTTAAAGTAGTTATGCCCTTCAATATATTATTCTCATCCCTTAATATGTCATAAAGTATAATTTATGAAATAGAGAAACAAAATGAAAAAAGATATTCTTTGAAGTATTTGGAACGACCTAAAATTGGGAATGATTAAGCAAATCACACTAAATGCAGAGTCATTAAAAATATGTTAACTTAGAGTTTTAATAACATGAGAAATGCTTAATTGCTTAACCTAATGCTTTAATTTAGGAAAAAGGAATTACATAATTGTCTATCAGCATAAGCTTCCCGATACCAAGAATATATAAGAAATTTTCAAAATATTTTGATAACCGTTGCCTCTGAATGATAACATTTTTTCTTCCTTATTCTCTTAATTTCCTTAATCCTTCTCTTAATTTTCTCAATTTCTGCAAAGAACAAGTGTTAATTTCATTAGGTGGTAATTCAGAATAATCCATAAAGCAAAATATATTTTAAGTTACACAGTTACACTGCATGAAGTTTCACTAGCTCTACTGGAAGTAGATGGATAAACAGAATTAAATGGGAGTGGATTTTGGTGGGGGAAAATTAGTGGGTATGGGTTATATCTCAAAAGTCATTAAGCTACTGATATATGCTTAAAATATGAACTAGAAAACAGGAAGCAGCAATATACTGGAACTTTATTCTCCCACTGGTGAAGAACAGTGTTTCTGAGAAATAAACAATATCATGTGCTCAAAAAGCATGAACTTTGGAACAAAAGGCTATACCAACTATTAGCAATACTTAAAATGTTTATTAATTTAAAACTGTCACATACATATACAATAATATCTACCTACTTTGGATGGTTAAGAAGATTCAAGAAGTGTGTGTGTGTGTGTGTGTTTGTGTGTGTGTGTATCTACCATGATGCCTGACAGAAATTTTTTTTAATTAAAGTAGCTATGAGCTTGGTTTCTAAGGTAGCATAGAATTCACTGCTTGCAGAACAGAAAACTACTGAGCAATCAGGAATCTACAGTGAAGTCCCTAGAATCGTAACGTAGTGATGCACAACTAGACATGAACACTATTTGGAAATCCATATAAGCAGGCAATATTAGAGAATTTAATCAATGAGTTGTATTTGCTAAGACAATGGATTTGAAGTGCCTAACAGAGTTTAACAAGTAATAACTAGTTTATAAATATTAAAAATTAAAATTTCAGAATCTTTGTATTAGTGATAAAATTTGAGTTTAACTAAACATCTGTTTTTCCAAAGTAATATAGCTGCCTTTAAAAGTACAAAGTTCAGCATTATCCCATGGCTTGGTAGGCAGAATATAATCTCTTTAGTCTTGGAGTTATGACATCATACAATCTTTTCCAATCCAACTTTCAGTCTTTGCTTCCTATAACATTATGCACATACTTTGTACTTAAAGCACTCTAAATGACTTGCTCCTTCAATGGTCATTTGCTCCTTTAAAAAATTTCACTTCTCCTATTTATTGCCAACAGCCAAATGAATGAACAATTACAAAGACAGACTATAAAATAATCCACTATTTTGTTAAAAGCACAGAGGAAAAAAACACAGCCTAGAGGTCTCTTTGAAGCTCAACTGATGTTATACAAACTGATTTTTGATGACTTTTTGTGTGTGTATCTGTTCCTGTTTCTTGATATAAATATGTGAATTTCAAAACTGACATGACCCATTTGTTTTGCAGCAGCTGCAGCAGCAGACATGGCTTACCACCATATTAGGCCTCCCATTGGCTATTCCATTCCCAAACCCATATCATCTTTGCTGATGCGAGGGTGGAATGCATGTCCTGAAGTGAGTAATTTTTATGTCCTCTTAGAAAATGTGTTATGGTCAAAATCTGTCACAAATAGTGTAACTCCAAAGTCTACTTCCAGGGTGTATTTTAAGACTGTCAAGGCAGAAAGACTAATTTGTCTTCTGCTCTTTAGTCTCTAATTGCCTCAAGAAGTCTGAATAGCTCATATTTCTTTTCTGCTGCTCTCTGATTTTGAAATGTTTCTTACAACTGATTAGTAAAAGAGAGACCAGGGTATGAGAGATGACTCACAGTCTTATCTCAGCTGCAATTTTATTAACTATACTTGAGCCACACTTAGTCTTTTTCTGACAAAAGAAATTGGTACAAGATGGATTTGGGTTGGCTTTTGATGCAAAGTAGGCTTTCAGGCAGAGACCCAAGGGAAAGTAGTCTTCAGGAGCACTAGCTCAAGCAGTAGTAATCAGAAGACCTGAGTCCTAGTCCTCTGTTACTTCTCTAAGTGATTGATGATGTGGTTAATAACACAGACTTAGAGCTCAAATGAAGAGAACAATGCTATGGAAAGAGTAAGTAAAAAGTAAAGGAGGATATTTAAACAGCCAAAAGAATATTTTAAATGTGGTCTTAAATCTAAGAGAGTAGAGGGGGAATGACAGTCTATACCTAGGAAAAAAATAGCAGACCATTAGTCTCCATAAAGTGATTCTTCTCACTTGTGTGCCATATCAGGTGATGTCTACTATTCTCAGAGATTGACTGAGGTGGTCCTACAGCTTCTCTCCTGGTGTTACAGTTCAGTCGTGTGTCCAAGAATTCCTTGGCCAGTTATTTTCTTATAAATAAGGATTTATTGAAATCCTTGTGTCTTGACATCAGTATATCCATTGAGTCTTTTCCTTTGAATGGAGGGTACTAGTCTGTGTTCTTCACCCTGGAAATTCTCATACAAAAAAAGCTTAATGGCTTTCGTTTGCCAGTCCAAATAATCGTAGTTATTGTTGTTGTTTTCTTATACAATCTTGTTTCTGATCAATCCTAGACACTTTATCACTCTTTGACAAGGGAGCCGATAAAGTGTGGCTATTATTATTTCAGAAAGTACCTCAACAAAGTAAAATGTCCACACATTTAGATAGAGAAAACAAGTTTCTTATTCTTTTTCTAAAGGCAAACGCCTCCTTTTTCGAAAGGTAAAATCCAAGTCATTATCCAATCCCACTTGAGAGCACAGAAACTCTTATGAAGAAAATAAAAGTTCTTGTGGAATATGGATTGAGTATTTCAGATAAACTTCTGACCAGTCCTTCTGACATGCTATAGGCTAAGAATCTTCTCACTACTCTATGCTCCATAGAACATAGAAGCAGGGATGATGATGACAATGATGATGATGATGATGATGATGATGATGATGATGATGATGATGATTACCTGTTTTGTTCATTGGTATCACCCTAGGACTTATCACCTATTAGATGCTTTTTTTTTTTTTGCTGAGTAAGTGAACAAATACCACACTTGCTTGTCAATACCTCTAGTTCCATATCTAGATTTTGAGATCTAGGAAATTTTATCTTGAAAATTATGTGAGTTAAATTAATTTGGCAAAACTTGTCTTTGTTTTCAATATGAACCTCAGGCATATATTCTCAGGATAAATGTGTCAAGCACCCAATACAGATGTCCCTTCTCTCTGTATAAAGAGAGTTGTACCAAAGTTGCACATAAAATACCCATCAAGGGAATCTTTTTTATTTTATTAACTAATCCCATGATCATAGATAAAGGACATGTGGAAGTTTTCATTTGGAGATAAAAGCAAATCATTGGCTTATTCTAAAAGCATGTTTAGGGTAGAATGTATGCCTCAAGCAAAACATTGGGAAATGAGAAAGAGAAATAGTAATAGGGCTAAAGGAGGACATTATTAAAGAGAAATATATATATAGGAGGCCCAAATAAATTGCTTAGTGGGAACATTGTGGGGCTAAGCAGTGAGTCTGAGCTATAGTGATGAGGTTCAGGGAGGAAGAGAAAGAGAAAACACATTAGGAAAGCAAATCTCCAACTTTCTGGCAATGTCTGAACTTCTCAATTCAGTCCTGGCTTGGCCTTGCTATCCACCTCCCACTGTAAAGTTGAGCTGTTTCTGTCATCATTATGTCACCCAGCAAGGTCTTTACCATGTCAGTAGACTGAGTGGTGAGAAAAAAGGGAACAATGAGATAATTTTTATTTTCCTTCAACAATTAATTTGAGTTCTTACTATATACTGTCCAATGAAAGGGGCTGAGGATTTAAGATGCATGAACTTTAAGGCCAGTAGTTATATGGAGATTAATTAAAGGCACATATTAATGATTCTACAGTTAAAGCCAAGACTAAAGTAAAAAAGACTTTATGGTAATTCATACTAAAAGAATACTAGCAAGTTGGAGATAGCATAGGTTAGGGAAAATTTCCCATAAGAAGTGATGCTTGAGGAGAGATCATAAACCATATATAGGAGCTTGCTGAATGAAGGGTTAGTGAGATAATAACCCAACTCAAGCAAGGAGGACATGTACAAATTCATTGGGAGAAAAAGGACAAGGGACCTACTAGTTGTTGGAACATTGTAACCACTGAGAGGTTAAATTTATGTGACAGATATCCTTTGAAACAAGTTCTTCTTTGGATCTAAGACACTAACATCATGCTATCCTGTTCCTTACTTTCTTTACTAATTGTTCTTTCATATCTATACTTTCCTCATTCCTTGAATTTGAAACCCAGTATTTTCTCATATATGTATCTTCTTAGTCAAGAATCAAATATGGAACACAGAGGACAGTGAGAATACCAGTCCTTTGGAAGTTGTTAGAAAGCAATGTGAGGTCCTTTGGAGGTTGTTAGAAAGCAATGTGAGGTAGAAAAGAATCCTGATAGAATCATATTTGGAAAGCCTTGGAAACCTGAATGGGAATTTGGACATGAAGTTATAAGTAATCTATTTTTGTCTCTAAAGCAGTGAAAATATATAATAAAAGTAATTTTTTCAAAATTTATTTGAATTGGATATGAAGGGTTTATTGACTTAGAATTTATATGTAGTTTCTATAAAGAAACAAACATTGAATAATCTTCTGGTGTTCATTGGAATAGCTAAACCTTTTTTTCTCAGCATGTGAGCAGGAAAATACATACTCCAGATTATCCAGGATTGTTGTTAAAAAGAAGATTCTGGAGCTCTATCCTAATTCTACTGACTGGTATGGAGCCTGAGACTGCATTTTAACAAGCACCCTAGTCATATGTGCCCCCCAGAGTTGGGAATGACTAGGTCAAAACTGAAGGAAAAGATACTGAAGTCAGGTCAGCCAATCGTGTACTGTGTTACAGGGATCCTGCTAATTGGAACACAGGGACCACAATGACAACCGTGGATTTGGGACCAAGGGTAACCCTGATAACCATCTCAAAGGCAGCATCATAAAAAGGTGAAAGAGTGGATTTCAGAAATGGAAAAGAGGAAAATGTCTAGAACTATCATTGGTGCATTCTGAAAGGCAGCTAGTAACCAAGAGTAGGTGTTGGCCCTTACATATCAGGGATACTGTTGGCAGTGAGGAGAGAGAACGAAGCTAAGCACTCTATGATAAAAGGATAATGCTTTAAAAAAATAGAAAGAGAAAAGTAAAGACAGCAACAGAGAAAAAAAGTAACCTGATCTACAAAGCTGGGGAGCTGGGGATTCAAATAAGCTTGTCATGCAGGTAGTTGGCACAGATGCTCTTCTCACCTTAAAGGTGCTTAAGAGAATGAAATGGAAGCAGGGAAAGCAGACAGATGGCACAGAGTTAAGCTCAGGCAAAGAGGCCGAATAATATGACAGGGGCAGGATTTGAAGTTAAAAGCAAGAGAGTTCTGAATCTTGGTGAGAAAAGAGGAAGAAGGCTAAAAATTCAAATTGAAAACGTTAAGTCTTTTGCTGACAATTTTGAATAGGAAGGGATAAAGAACATAGGTGGGGCATGTAAGCAATATGCATATTGTTCTAGTAATCCTTTAAGTTTTATAATACCACATGTAGATATAAAGATACGGAGACCTGTACAGAAACAAAGAGAGAAGTTTGCTTCCTTTTAAACCTTTTTCTCCCCTGGGAAATGTGAAATATTATAACATTCTATGCCATGAAAGTATGCTTTAAACATTTTACTGGGGCATAAATAAAATTGTGTGTGCTTATATTTTTTGAATAAATGTGTCTTTAATTAAAAGATGTTTATTCTGCTATTGCTTTAAATGTAATATTTATAAGCACATTTAATTCCTGTGCATAAGGAGGAGTACTCACACAGAACAATAGAGGCATGCTAAACTCAGGAGATCAAACCTTGAAAGCTACATGCCAATGGATTATTTAGTTTTTAAAATCTTAAATTAATAACAATTGGCAATAAAGCTCATTAAAATTCCTTTTGTTCAAGATCCATTGTGTCGAACTTGAAGCCCAGTTTGTTCTTCTGAAGCTGAGATCTCCACCTAGTGGATTTATAGGAATTTGCAGAATTTACAGAAACATCCTGCTATCCCTGGAAATCCTTAATTTTTTTTCTCAGAGAAATAATAGCTTTTAAAGACTTCTACTTAAGATCTAGGATAATTATCAACAGAACAGTTACAAAACCACAAAATATGCTGTTATACATATCAGCTAGACTACAACTAACAAAAAAACTGAAATTTTATTTTCATATCATAATTAGGAAAACAAATTGGGCTCAAATATGAATATATAGTCATCTCTGTAGAAGGTAATACTGTAGTGCCACTAATTAAGATTTTTATAATAATTTCCATAAAATAAACACTAAAAGTACCTCTAGTAAAATGCTTTTTAAATATCTACCCTTTAATTTGAGGCTTTTTATTTCTTTCAGTGTTTGATTGCTTTTCCAGGACTGGGTAAAACTTTTCTTTCCCATTTTCCCATTTGTTAAAAAAGCCTTCTCAGTAAATTGTATCAAACATATTCTGTGGCTCCATCTTTGATTTTTTAAATTATTTTCAACTGTGAACTTCTATTGATAACTAAGAATTGCTGAGGTTTTGTTCTCCAAAATAATGCATTTTAAATGCATACAAAGGCTAGAGGGTGTTTGTGTGTCCTTTTGAAGAGAGCTAAGCTAGAAAGTGATTATTATTTGAGTTATTTTGTTCACTTTGCTCTGCTTCTAAAGGTGATGTATTAGCATATTCAGCAGATGGTGGATGCGGTACAGGTTTTGGAACAGAGTTTTCAGCTTCATTTATTCTGCTAGGAATTAGAGGCACCTCATTTTCTGGCTCAAAACGAATGTCTTTTAACTCTGGTGAGAGAGGAAGCACTGCATGTCTCTCTGCTGCCATTTCACCTTCTCTGTGTGCACTGCTATCTTTATCTGGCTGCATATTTTGAATTTCTCTCAAATCGTGCATATGACTGTTAATTTGAAGATCTGCTTCACTGTGAGGTATTCTATTTTTGGTTTCCTGGGAATTTGTGATCCTCGGATCTTTAACTGTAATGGTCTCCTCAACAGAGTTTGAATCACAGAAAACGTGTTTTTCACTTTTCCCATTTTCCCAAGTTTGCTGCCCTCCGATTGTGATGCCCTTTGAGGTCATTTGTGTGGTCCAAATGAATATACTAGAATTGGTCTTGCTTTCATCAAGTATACTTTCCCCTTCTTTTTCTACTATTTTTATCTCCAGAGCTTCAGTGCTGTCATCTCTGGGCAATACATGTGCGCTGTCACTTCTTTTTTCGCTACTATTGGTTAGATGCCAAATGGCTTGACTACTAAGAGTAGAAGTACTGATATCCTTGGGAAGCTCTCTTCTATTTTGGTGTGGAATAGAATTTGTCATCATAAATGGTAGGTTGTTCTTGGACTGTGTCCAGGGAATAAGAGAGGAATCATAAGTTTCTGTCTTAAGAAGATTTTTCCCTACTTCATTTCCTTCCTTATCCATAATACAACTTTCCACAATTGGATGTGATATTTTGGGTTTTGTCATTAATGTTTTTTCTTCATTTTCAAGTTGTTTATGACTTAAGTTTTGTTTCTTACATTGTAAAATTTGATTTTGCTCTGAAGTACATTCCTTGTTGTAAGTGTCAGTCTTGTAAACACTTAGAAATTGTGCTTGGTTTCTCATGGACCGAG